CATAATTCTTCTCGTGATTCATGGCATGCGCACGTTTCAATAAAGTACAAATTGTAACCTTAAGCGTCCCTTATATGACGTCAATTTTAGTGTCTACTGACTAACAGACAACACATTACTGTATAGTGATTAAAACAAAAGTTCTATCAACGTAATACTTTAAGAAAGGTAGAATGGTATAAAATATGTTCCAAGGACATGTCAAGTCATAAAAATCAACTAATATTTCAAAGTTTTAACTTTGTTTCTTGCTCTCCGTTGACTCAGCAGTAAAAACTAAAACCATAAAAATAAACTAATATTTCAAAGTTTTCACTCTCTCCGTTGACTCAGCAGCAAAAACTAAGGGCATATAACGCCAAAAATCAGATTTCGATACCCGAGACGGGCAGAGCACAGACAACTCTTTGTGTAGCATTACAGCAACAACTTTGTTTCATTGTTTTTTTTTAAATAAACTGAAATGTTCGAGATAAATCAATTTGAATTTATTGAAATTATATTTAAAGTAACTGCTATTTGCTTAGGTTAGGAAACAGCAGAGAATGAAAACCTGAACTTCACGAGTAAAACAGCGTGATCAATAACTTTTTATAGTTTACTGCGCTAAATATTTACCATGGGTAATCGATTTTAACCAGACATCGTTTTCTGATAATTCATTTAGTAACAGAACTAATTGTTTGTATTATGACGTAATACAGAGGAAGCAAATGAGCATTACCGCTAGAAGCTGGAATGTTCATCAATATATGATACATTATTGTGTTGGTTATTTTGTAGCATATTGCTGTGGTGGTTATTCTGTTGGCTTACAATTTCAACACCCATGACCATAAGGGCGTTTCATAATCTTGCATAGACATTCTGGCTCCTACACATTTTTCCTATTGACCACTAATTCAAATATACCACCTTCCCATGTTGGATCATCTTGTGCTTCCTGAGCACGTGGCCAACCGGCGCCAGTGGGGGTTGGTCTGACTGTGGAACTGTTGGGGGGGAAGGGGTGCATTAGGACGCAACGTGCGTGAGGGTGTCAACCAATCAGCTGCTACACTGCATCTCTCTGCAGCGGCATGCGAGGACCCAGATAGCGACTATGAACTTGTGTGAGTATGGGGAAGTGTTATTTCAGCCTGTTCGTGAAGTATACGTACAGACATGTCTAATGTGCGTTCCTTATGGTTGGAATGGTAGCGGTGATCGGCGTGATCGTGCTTGCGGCCCTGGGATCTCGGGTATCGGCCTTAGGTAAGTGACCGTTTCCGGACACATTTCAGGGTTAGCTCAACACAAGTTCTCTCTCTTTACGTGACGGGTAAGTTAGCCTTTCTTTCGGCTAGATGGTGCGGTAGCGGACGTACTAAGGCGTCCTTGGACGTGATCCACATTCATAAATACGATGCTTCCGAGAGGAAAGACACTGACTCTAGCATCCTGGAAGTCACGATGAGAGGGAACACTTAATAAATCACCTGTGTTAGAAACCAAATGTCTTCTTTCGTTATTGTTTGATTCACCTTCTTAGAAACGTTCATGAATTTATCTGCTCAATTGATTTTACATAGTCAGTCGTATAAAGGTAAAAATTAACTTTAACTAAGAAAATCTGCCTTACCTTAAATACGCCTGAATTAGTTTTTAATGTAAAATGACTGAAAACACACAGTTGAGGCGGTTTTTGTAGGAATGAATTTGAACAGTTAATCAGTTTTTAGGGAAATATGCACGTACTTTATCTACGAAGTTCCACGTGGTGTTTAAGTTAACAATGTAAATAATCCACTTATTTGAGTTCGAAATCTAAAAATGGGTGAAGAAGAACGTTAAATGTAAATAAATGTTGACGGTTAATCTACAGAGCAACCAATACAACAAGCACTCAGTTCATTATACCTACATGTCTATTAGAAATACTCGTGAGATCTAAATAAGTAAGACTGTTGTTTAGAATATTCCGGTATGATCATACCATATCAAAATCATCTAAAAATGTTTCTTTTTAAAATACCTTCATATATATACTTTCTCGTGTATCTTACAACATTGTTAACAGTTCTAAAAAAAGTGGTGTTACAAATTCATCTTTACTGTTAACCTGACAAAATCATGGTGAAGCTTTTCCAGCTCTTCCTACTGGTTGAAGATATCTACTTTTAGGTTTATGAATTATGTTCTCTTATAAAACTTAAATATCAGGTAAAACGTGTTTCTTGACTGTCTCTAGTTTGGTTGTATGTTTTGTTGAATTTCGCGCAAAATTACTCGTTAGCGATACATGATTTTTTAAGCGAGATTAGGGGAAAAGTAGCTAGTAAACACCACCCACCGCCAACCCTTGGGTTGCTCTTTACCAATGAATAGTGGGACTGACCGTCATTTGTGATGCTCCAACGTCCGAAATGGTGGATTATGTACGATGATTGTATTCGTATCCGCGACCCGCAGATTACAAGTCGAGTTCCCTGTCCACCTGGCCATCATAGGCCAACTGAGTCAGTTGACAAACATAGTAATCTTTGTCTCTTGATTGTAGAAATTTTCAGTGATAAGTTTCCGCCCATTCGACGATGTTAATTAGCTCAAAATATCACGTTAGTGCAGAAATCACAGTCCCTTACTACTTGCAACGTATTAGAATTTATAGAATTGAAGTTTTTGAGAGTGTTCCAATTTTTTTTGCTAAAACACCCGAAACGCAGACAAGACAAAATTCAGTATATAAGCATAGTTATACATACCATAACACACGAAATCTTCATAAACTCTCTCTCTCTCTATTTTAATACTGTTATAAGCGATTTACTCAGATATAGCATCATGCAATCCCTATACGTACACTCATCAAACCGTTGCTTTTAAAATGTACCTCATAATATATCGGACTACTAAAGATTTCGTATACATGAATATATATATATATATAACATCTCCAGGAACTTTTACCGACATCGGTAGCATTAATTCTGTACGAGCAGAGTCGTTGAATAATTAGTTTATGAAAGTTTGAAAGAAGGTAGATAATTTTGAGTGCAGTGTTTTGGATGTGTCTCTAGTAAACTACTTCAACCTCGTATATTACCACACCGTACTAGACGCGATAATACTGGATACTATACTGTGAAGCTTCAAAAATTACCACACCGTACTAGACGCGATAATACTGGATACTATACTGTGAAGCTTCAAAAATTACCACACCGTACTATATATATATAATCTATCAAGCTTTACTTTAGAATTATTTTCTCCCTATTTAATTATTGCCACTATTATGTAATATTTATTCAAGTTAATTCAACATATATGAAACAGCATAAATAGATAGATGAACAGAGAGATAGGGATATAGACAGATAGATTATCTAGATAGCAGAGTAGGTAGAAATAGAACAAATTCTAACGGAAATTTATATTAAATTATATAGTTAAATAAAAACCTAAACAGTTGCTGTCTCAATCTTGGTGGATCTTCTATTGAGATTTGTATATCTGTGCTCGTTCCGCATGAAACGGATTTTATAAGATATGCAGAAAAACTTTGAACGTTGCTTGCAATTAACCCGTCATGATATATTCATGGATTTTTATGGGACTTGTTTCATGTGTATTATATGTACACGTTTTCGTATATACTATTCCGTGCACTAGTTGTAAACCTATATATTTTTTTACATTACAAATTAAATCTTAGACCTAACAACACAGATTGGAAAAATACACGCTCCGGTTCTTTCTTCCCTTATATAACTTTGTTTACGTTGCGCATCCACAGTTTCTCCTTTTATTAATGTATACTAGAAGTAATACAGAGGGAAAAAACACAATAACAACATAGTTTATATCAGTTCATTTTACACCAGAACGGTTTTGGGTATCATAGAATTAACAGACAGTGGACAAATGTAATATATATATATATATATAGAAACGTCTGGTTGTTCTGTATTTATTCAGCTACCCAGATATGTATGAACGTCTATTAAATATATTACATTTTTATGTTGTTCTACTGCATATTGTGTGAAACATGTATACGGTGATGCTGTTAGATTCATTAAAGTATGACAAAACGTATATATTTTAGGGCATGAATTAAGTTCTTGAAATATAATTTTGTGTTATTTCTGTTTATTTTTTATGGATATGTTTTTCTAACGAACCCAACGTTGTGGCATATTTTCCCTTGCTGAAAGAAATAACTAATTAAAAATTGTTGTATAAGACGACAGAGTACTTATAAACGATCGATAAAACAAAAACACTATGCACAATAAACGTTAGTTGAATATTTAAATAAGTAAACAATAATTACGAATACTAGCTACCTGTTTTAAGCCTAATGTGTTGATTTCAGGCGTTATGCAAACCCCTATTCTCTAAGATTATGAAAGTGAATTTCCCTTGAAGAAAAGACACAAACAAAAAATTGAAGAGCTATCGATACTTTAATGTAATATTCATTTATTCACACACATTCACACACACTTATTATATATCTATATGTATGTATGTAGCCAGATTTAGTTTGTTATCAAATAAGGTTAACAGAATTGACGCTGTAACAATTTTTAGAGTGAGGGGGCTAAAACCAATTACTGTCTTCTTCTAACCCCACCAGCAGGTGCGCATCCATTTTATAATTTAAGTCAGGGGGTGCTATCGAACTCCAAACACCCCCTAGTTCCCACGCCCTTAGTTAAAAATAAAAGATACGCCTCAACTACTTTTTTGGGGGCGTATAGAATATATCTTCCACTATATTTTTTGGTCATATGTATACGTTCCTTAAAATATTGTATACCATTTATGTATTCGAAACCAAGAGTAGTATTATAATTTCATCATCATCTTTAAAGGTGAAAACCGACCAAATTTCTTTTTATTTTGACGGTATTTACATTTTAAGTCAAAGGTATGATTAAGCAATAACCTTAACATAAAATCGTGAAATGTGGATTGAAAGTGATAGTCTATGTAAAACACAAACATATGTCCTGCAGGATGGTTTCAAAATTATATAATCACGATCTAAATATAAATAATATAAATACCCCTCATTTTTTTAAACCTTGCCGGTTTGATCCATTCATTATCTGTATAATTAACTTATAAAAATGTGCACTATTTTTATTTTCAGCACAATTCTTAACCCTAGAATTACTGATGAGGACCATGTGTCCTCTTGGCTTTTTAAACACATTTTTTTTAAAACTGTTTTTACATCAAATTGCTTGTGGACCCACGACTTTGTTAGTTATATGAGCTCCAATAACATATAAATTGCCCCAAAACATTTAAAACAAAAGTATTGCCACTACCGCAGTTTATTTCACTAATTACGGCTGGGATCCCTCGTGGATTTTACATAGAAAACGAGTGATTTCATCCATCATTTTTAACCAATTCTTTACATTGAGCGCCGTAACAATGAAAAACACACTATTACTCAATATGCTGCAATATGCAAACCTCACCACAATAAATAAACAATTTAAAACAAATCAGTAATACAAGGGTTAAACACTAAGGGAAAAAAAACTGAAAAATTGAATACAAATTCATTTATATATATATATAATTTTGTTTCACGGTCTTACTCCTAGATGAATTCATTTCTCTCATCCTTTTCTTTGATATAGCCCCTACCTGTTGTTACCAGGTCACGGGTTCATGTAGAAGATCGTGTGAAGAGGTAAGAATTTTAATGTTTTTCAGTTTGATTATTATATGTTAAAAGCAATGCACCCACTGTGTCTATTTCATGCACGCGTAAACTTGTAAAATGACAACCAAACGTATATATATATATCGCAGTGTAGTCATCACCAGGTCATTTAAAACGTCATATATTTTTACCATGATATATACTTATTAGGAATCAGCTCAACGCTTGCAGTAATGTGTATATTTATCTACTTCAGATTTATGCCCCCGATACTCTGCCAAGTAATGAGTGAAATGTTTATTTAAATAGAAACTGGTGAATATAAGTGTAGTTATAAAGTTTCACATCATAAGGAAGAATGTCTCCAGTGTTCGAACTAGTTTATTATTTTGTACCACGAATACTTATATATCTAAAACTTCCGAGTCTGCTATTAAAATATGCTTTTTTTTGTTTGTTTACTGAAAATTTTACAATACGTGTTTACACTTTACCTTTCTCATCTAATAATGAGACGAATTCATATTTAACTTTATATTGTTGACTGATTACATCTTTCAATCATCATACAGATAGCAGGTTAGAAAATAAACATGGAAGATACGTTCATTTGTCAAAGTTAATTCTAGAAATTGCCTGTAAGGTTTAAAGCACATAGAATAATTATTGTTGACCGCAACTAACTATGAAAACGAGAAATCCTTGGCTTTTTTAATTTTATAACAACCTTTTTTGAATGTTCATACATTTCCTTCTGTTTTAAACAAATATTGATTACGTAAATAATGAAACACTTGATATATATTTATATGTCGCATTTTATTGACTTTCTATCTTTACTAAGTACATGATGATTGTTACATTTAAATTCGGAAACTGACATAGTTATTTGGAACATTGTATTTAATTTGGTTTTTTTTCTAAATCGATCTCATTGCTTCTCATTATAATTATATTAAGAATTACACGTGAAATGACATCAGGATTAGCTTTAAAGTTGTTGTTTTTTTTTAGTTATTTGTTAAATTTCTATTGGTCATAACTAACCCTATGGATGGTTGCAACTTGAAGTCTGAGAATTTCGTTTCAATATATCATTAACCCTGTGCATATTGAAAGATCTTGGAGCAATATCTAAATAAAGTGCTCTGTAACCACAATGACCCTGCTTGTGAAATGATTGGAGTTTGTTTATTTGTTCTGATGAACTTCGCGCAAAGCCACTCGAGGGCTATCTGCTTTAGCCGTCCATAATTTTAAAATGATAGATTAGATGGAAGAAAGCTAATGAACACCACTCACCGCCAGCTCCTGGGCCACTCTTTACCAACGAATAGTGGGATTGATCGTCATATAGCGAATCCGTTGCCGTAAGCAGCAGGCCATGCTAGGCCCTTAACCGTAATTTTACCCGCGATAAAGAACTAAGCCACGAAGAAAATAATCTCCGCGTGTAAATTGGTTTTACTTAGTGCAAGCTACTGTTATTATTCAAAATATTTATTCCTATATTTGCTTTTTGGTCTTTTTCTCTCTGTGTTTCTTGTTTTTTGTATTCAGTAGCCACCCTAAAGGCGATTTGACCTGCATGTCAAAAATTGGCGGTCAGGAAGTTATCAAAGCAATTTCAATTAAAGTTTGGAATGAATACACATAACCTTATATGACCTGTCATGTACTGATGGCTCCCTGCTGATTTTTATGAAAGCATTATTTCATTTCAATATTTCAATCTCCTTGCTCTAGACGCCTGCACTTAAGGACCTGTAACCTTGAATAGGTATTTTTATTTTTTAATTATTTTTTAGAAGGAGTCACACTATGTTGTCACGAATTCTATAATACAAGGTTTCTCGTAAGGAGGAGTTTGTGTAGTTGCACAAAACTAACAGGTGGCATACGCAATAGGATGTAATTCTATTGATTTTATGGGTATTCTGACAAGACCCTTATCAATCCTTTTTGTCATATCCATTCTTTTTCTAACTATTTACCAATAAATGACGTTATTGTGCACAAACCATTCCAAGTGCGGTGTTGTGAATCGCAGAAAATCAAACGATGTGGAAAATCAGTGAAGCGAGGAGCCACAGTGTTTATTGTCTTAGCTTAGTTGTCATCTACCACAAGTCGTATTGGGACATGGTTGTCCTTGGAATTGTTACGACAGTTTTTTTATGCTGTGTAGGAGGGGATTACGGAGGTCATTTACGTGCTTTTTTTTACACTAGGCTTTTGCAATCGAGAGAAATGTTTTAAGAACTATTTGAACAACGTTCAATCAGACAAAAATGTCGTCATGGTGTATAGTTTCCAAATAAGCTATATTGAAAACGTCATATCCTGTTACATTATTCTTCTTCTATGCTATTTTTATAAATTGGAAGTTGTAAAAAATATTTGATAATTACCTGTCTCTCATTTTCATCATGGCGTAATTATACAATATGTGAGGTCAAATTTAAAGATTTGCAATGGTGATTGTTAGGAATAAGCATCTCTTGGTCTCCCTGTGGGACAGTGGTAAGTTTGCGGCCTTCAAACGCTAAAATCCGGGGTTCGATTCCCCGCGATAGACACAGCGGATAGCCCAATGTGCCTTTGCTATAAAATAAACAAAGCTTTTCATACAATATATTACCTGTTATGGATACGCTTTTCATAACAAACTCGTTGTTTTAGAAACAATTACAGAACGTATTGGTGACGCGTGTAATTAACTGAAAATGATGTTGTTTTTTGGAATAAAGAACAAAAGCATAATCGTATCTACACATACTGGTAATATTATTCGAAATTAAAAATATATATTAAAAATAATTTGGCTGAGTATAAGATGACGTAAAATTTACAGTATACTGATAATTCTGCGTATCCAACTGAATATTTATTAAATTTATTAAAGTTAGATATTTTGTTGTTTTTTTTTTATTAAAATCCTCTGTCGTTCTTGAGCTTACTTTAGAAAAATTGCTTTACATTGGTTGAAATTATAAAATTGTTACAACTGTTCAAAACAAACGAACAAAGAAACGTTGGATCGTTACGCTTATAATTTCAACTTCAGAAAGAAATTCCCCGCACTAGACTGGGCAACTTGACTATTTTGGAAATTCAATTACGAAAATGAAATAAAAAAGATCAGGGAAATAGATTTCTTCACGCAACCAGGTTAGAGAATAGTTAGGTGAGGTTAAGATTAGGTCAGAAACTGTCTTGTTAGTCGTTACCATCCTCGAGAGCGCTAGCCTAATAAGGGGCTTCGTTATCGTTGGGGCCACAGACACGCTGACCCCATAGAGCTATGGTCTAATGGTGAGTGGGCTAAATGTGAATGTTTGTATTACTAGAGTGTTCAAGGAGTGGGTGCACTTGCCAATGACAAAACTCCTTTCCTTTAAAACTTAAGCATACACCGGTAAATAAAGCTCGTGGACTGAATAAGAAATACGTTTGAAACGTTATGACAGCGTCATGGAAAAATGATGATGGATCAAAAAAATATATTCATAATGTGAGTAAATAAGATAAACGTATAACTTTTTTTTTAATTTTACTTCATAGAAAAACGTTGTTTTCAATTACAATAAATCTGTTAATTCATAAAACATAATACAAATATTGACGTGTTTAGTTTTTTTAAATATGTCGTTCTATATTTTCTTTACAAAACATTTCTAACAAATTTTTGTATAATTTTTTTTTTAATGTTATCTTAATATTCCTTTGAGTAATTGCACGTTTTATTTATATTAACTCTAACAATTAAAGCTTTTAGTGTGAAGTACATTAATTTAAGCGTGTTAATATATATATATATAAGAATCGTTCTATGCTGGAGGCAATATTATGGCTTAAAGAGCCAAGATAATACTTCTTTTCTTTATAAAAGTTGTACAAAACATCGATAAAAAATACGAAGAGTAACAACAAAAATAGACCCTCCAAGCAGAAAATGGATACAGCAATACTTGGCACAGTGCCAAGAGAGGTGAACGCGACCAGCACGAGAACTAAACTTAGTACTATATCATGTCACTGTTTACTGAGCTGAGTCGCTCGGTTGGAATGTTGTACTCTCTATGAAAACCGCCTTGTGCGTTAAATCTGTTATCCTATAGCTTTATTTTCTATGATATAAATGAAAATAATTATAATATCTTTATCATTCTTACTACAAACAAAACGTGGTCCTAAACATTATCTGTTTTGTTGTTGTACAACACTTCATAATGGATTTCGTTGAATAATAGTGCGATGACACTAACACTTTTCAACCAAAAACAATTTCTTTCTTTTCAGTGTTATGAGAATCCCCGTAATACAACCGGTTTTGTATTTTAAAAACTAATGAAATGAAAAACTGTTCCGAGATACAGCAAGAGCATCAAGTAAAATAAAAACGAGATGTGTTATGAGATCGAAGTTTGCTTTCCTTTTCTGTTGGAATTATAATACCTTAATGCAACATTTTGAACTAAATGTATTTCAGCAACCTTGGCCAAAGTATAGAGAATAAAGTAACTAATAAACATGCTTAAATTACGGAAAATACTATCCTCAAATGTCTCTGATTTTACGGAATATACTTTCTAAACAAACAAAAAATACACAGTTATTAGTAATCTCTCTTTGGGTTCCATCTTCTTTGTGTAAAAGGGTTTAGATCTCAATTCACAAATCTCCATTAACCAATAATCTATTGTACTTAAAGAAACCAATGTCGTTCCCCAGTGGGTCAGCGATAAGTTTAAGGACTTAGAACGTTAAAATACGGCGTTCGATACCGCGAAGTGGACACATCCGAATGTGGCTTTCCTCTAAGACAAACAGAAATCAATAAAATACAACAGAAGTATGTATTTATACTGTTAAAAAATCTAAATTGTTGTATTTATCTTTAACGTACCTTACTTGCGAGGCGTCATAGGCATCATTTTATTTTTATTTTAACCCTCGGATTATTGACCAAGGAAAGGGGTGAACAAAGTCAATTAATCTAGGAGAAACAAAGGAATTTATATCTA